GATAACCTTAGATTGACTGCAAATTTATATAATCTTTTTATTAGGTCTGTTACAGACCTCAAATTTTCAGTAGAAGTATGTGAAACATTATTAATATGAAACAGTTTTTCAGAATTTGAAACAAGTTATTCTGATCTATTTGAAATGTTTTAAGTTTAGAACAGGGCTTCTTATTTGATGTTCAGCAATTAGAGCTTCTTTTGCTTCTTAATGTTGTTGCTCTTGTTAGTTATATACTTGAGCCATATCCACCACCACCACCCATTTAGTTTAATATAATTAGAATGACTGTACTCATAGTGGCAAATAGTAGGACAATGAAAAAATGGTTGGAGAAGACCACTGCAGAATTTCTGGATTCATTAAGGAACTGAAGATATAAGAACAAGTTCCATTTTGTAATTGGATAATTCTTGTATAGCATATCTCAGTGCATTCTCTACTTTCTTGGAGCTACAGTATTAGAGATTTGGACATTTCAAGGCACTGTGTTCCTAATAATGCTCCCATTTACTTTCAAGAGCAACTATAAGTTGAATGCTGACTTTTTGTTAAAACATGCAGTAGGAACCTACATTGGGCATCTAACAATGTAGTCTAAAATTTAAACCAGAAAAATAAGGTGAATGCTGCAAAGGTGATAAAATTCAGAGACAGGCAAAAGTAAGATAATAGGAATAAAAATATATTTTCTCTCCCTGGGTTTCAGATTTTGACAGGTCATACTTTGACTCAAAGCACTTACATTACTATAACTGAGCAAGCCCGAAAGATAAAGGCAAAATGAGCACACATTTTTGTCAGGCTGAAAAGACAAAACATTTATAATACGAGCAGCTGTTACATTTCTGAAAGTTTTGTTGAAAAGGGTATTAATGCCATTTTTAATTAAAAGATTTGCAATATTTTTCCTTGATAAAAGTCTCTCATTAATGAACTGAGATGGCTTCTCAGGAAAATGTTTAACAGCTGGAAAAAGTACAATACATTGAAAAAAGCTCTGTGAAAAGTTTAAACTGAGTCAATGCTTTATGGGTTATTATTTTAAGCCTGAAGCTTCTTGGGAGTCAAGAGCTGATCTTCTGCCACAAGCACTGCAGGGTTGGTTGCGTTGAAACATAAAAATGCTTAATCTAAATATTTAATTTCAGATTAGATGATTTCTACTAAAAGGCTATGAAACATTTCTGGTGAAGAGACTCAGGGGACATGCTAGTACGGCAATTCTAGCTGGTTTTTTGCTATATTTCTGCATTTGAGGTCTTTTTGGATTAAAAAACCTACAGTATAGGGAATGTAGTCCATGATGCTAGAACATTTGATTTACTTCAATTATTTTTTTAAAAAATGTTTTTAATAAAACATATTTTTTGATTATCTAGTCAAGCATACACAGTATAATTAGCATCTGCTATGCAAATTATCCTCCAGCAGGATGCCACTCATCCTGTTTTCCCTTTTCCTGCAGCTAGACTGCAACTTGTCTGCATTTCCTTACGGGTTCAGCTAGGATATGCTATGACAATATCCATCTTGGATTATTCTTGTGCGTTCAGAGAGTCACATTAACATAAAAAATGATGGATTAAAGGAAAGAGTGGAGAATGAGTAGCAGACAATATAAGTAATGACAACCATTGTGATGTTGGGAAAGAGATGGATGGTGCATAGTAAGAGTCAATCAATCCTCACGTTGACAATATAGGTAGAGGACCAGATTCCTTCACAGCTGGATTTCAGGGGATAGAAGCACTCAATTTTAATGTCTTTAATATGGGACTACCTATTGTATTTTTTTCCCTAGTTTTAAATTATGTTTGGAAACAGATACTTTCTCTACATGTGGTCATATTCTTACCAACATTTAAACATGCACACATACAGTACAACTAGTTTATCAAAGATCTACCTATAAGTCTTTTTCTTTCCAGGCTACCATATGAAGAAAGCAATCATTATTAACCCATTATTTTTTATTTAAATACTTTTATAAAGATTGATTTTTCATTATAAAATAATGGTTTATTAGACTGTCTGATTAATTGATTGATTGAATTTGAAATTGAACCAGTAACTTCATTTTAATGTAACTATTGATTAACTGCCATTTAAGGTTTAACAATCATTTCATCATTCATGTCATCACAAGGGTTTTTTTAGTACCTGGATTGAGAGCTATCTGGAGCCCTAAACTTTTAAGTATGACTGGAAAAGATAAAAGGATATTCCAGGAGGAGACAGTGACCAAATACTTCTAATGGCTGCCCAGAAAACTACTTGGCTTAAGGAATTAAAATCAACTGAAGGAATCTTTCTTTTCAAGATCTGGAAAAAGGAGAAAATGCTTTTGAGTTTCACAATGGAATTTAATACATTTAATACATAATCCATGATACAGATCTGTGCAAATTATATGTATTAGAATAGCATAGCATAGCATAGCATAACATAGCATAGAATAGAGCTGGAAGGGACCTTGGAGGTCTTCTAGTCCAGCCCCCTGCTCAAGCAGGAGGACCTACTGTATACTATTTCAGACAAGTGACTGTCTAGCCCAGTGGTTCTCAACCTGTGGGTCGGGACCCCATTTGGGGTCGAACGACCATTTCACGGGGGTTGCCAAACAAGGCTGTCCCCATTTTTCCCCCTTTTCTTTGGCCACGCCCCTGGCACCCGGTGATGTATAAGTGGTTGGGGGTCACCACAACATGGGGAACTCTATTATGGGGTTGCGGCATTAGAAAGGTTGAGAACCACTGTTCTAGCCTATTCTTAAAAATCTCCTCCTCACTGTCAGGAAGTTTCTCCTTAATTCCAGGTTGCTTCTCTCTTTGATCAGTTTCCAACCATTGTTTCTTGTCCTGCCCTCTGGTGCTTTGGTGAATAATGTGACCTCCTCTTCTTGGTGGCAGCCCCTCAAATACTGGAATACTGCTATCCTGTCTCCCCTATTTCTTCTTTTCTTTAGACTAGCCAAACCCAAGTCCTGCAGCTGTTCTTTGTATGTTTTAGTCTCCAGGCCTTTAATTATCTTAGTTGCTCTCCTCTGAATTTTTTCCAAACTCTCAACATCTTTTTTGTGATATGTAGACCAAAACTGGCTGCAATATTCCAGGTGTGGTCTTATTAGAGTTTTATAAAGCAGTACTAATACTTTGTGTGTTTTTGATTCTATGCCTCTGTTTATACAACCCAGGATTGTATTAGCTTTTCTGGTGGCTGCTGCATACTGTTGGCTCATAGTCAAGTGATCGTCCACTAGGATTCCAAGGTCCTACTTACAGATACTGTTTTTAAGTCAGGTCTCACCCAGTCTGTACTTATACCTTTGAGTTTTCCTGCCTAAATGTAAAACTTTGCTTTTCTCCACATTGAAACTCATTTTGTTGGATAGGGCCCATTGTTCAAGTTTATCAAGACCTTTTTGGATCCTGAGTTTGTCTTTTGGGATATTGGCTACTCCTGCCAGTTTGGTGTCATCTGCAAATTTTATGAGTTCCCCTTCAATTCCCTCATCTAAATCATTGATGAAGATATTGAAGAGTACTGGGCCTAAGACGGAACCTTGTGGTACCCCACTGCTTATTTTTCTCCATGTGGATGTACTGCCATTGAGGACTACTCATTGAGTATGGTTTGCCAGCTAGTTACAGACCCATCTGATGATAAAGTTGTCTGTTCCACCTTTTTCTAGCTTACCAAGGAGTAGGTTGTGGTATACTTTATCAAATGCCTTACTGAAATCTGAGTATACCACGTCCATAGCATTTCACTGCTCTACTAGTTTAGTCACTTTATCAAAAAATGAAATAAGATTGGTTTGGCATGATCTGTTTTTAACAAACCTATGCTGGCTACTATAAGTTATTGATAAAAAAAAGTTTAAAGGAATTCCTTATGCACACAGTTCTTTTATATTTATGAAACCTTAAGAATAAAAACAGAACATTCTAGAAAAGTCTAGAATGTTCCATTTCTGCTCTCTGCCAGGATGAACCTTCTCCACTCTCTGTGGACATTGTGAGTTTCATTGGGAAGTTTCTGAAAGTAAATTGCTGATAAATCTCAAACATGCCATTCCAAGTCCAAGCAGGTCCTAGGAACACCTCAAACAGTGTCCTGTTTAGAATATGTTTATCTACTGCCTTCCTGATCACATCATGGGATAATCTGGAGTAGGAATGAAATGTTCTATGCATCTCTACTGAACAAGGAGTAAATAAATAAGCTAGACAATTAATCTTCTGTTCTGTTTGGAGCAAAGAACCAGGTAGCTCAAAGCATGCCAACCTTTGGGAGACTTGAAGACCTGGTCTTTCTTATGTATGGACAGTGTGCTGTGTAAACCTCTGATAATGTATATTTGCAATATATTTGTCCCCATCATAATATTTTTTATTTATATGAAATATTGTTTTTAATTTTCTTTTTTATAATGATACCTGCTTTTAAATCTTTAACTCAAAGTTGCTTGGTGAATGGACAACCATCAAAATCAAATAAGTAAATAACAGATAAAGACAAATTATGTCTTTATGTCTCCTTTCATTTTATCAGGATATAAAAACTTATTTATAACTCAATCTCTTCTTTTTAAACCACCAATATTTTCTAATTCCCTCTTTTGTTGAAATGGTAATAAGCAAAGTTAAAAATCAAATTGACTTTGATCCAGATTTTGACATATTCAACCAATTAAATCCCTAACTTTGCTCCATGTATCAAAAGGTCAGCCCAATAATACTAAACAGAATATAGTGCGATCTGTCTGGATAGGTCATCTTGTCACATTCAGGCACATCATTAATAACATGGAGGTGGCTTCATTAACAATAACTACCTGGTTACTCTTTAATTCTTTTTCAAATGTACTTGGAGAAGTCACGATTTGAAATGGATATTATCCTACATAAAAGGTAGATTGTTTTCAATTATATAGAGCCTGATACGTCAAAGAGTCATTTTCAATCTCTAATTTCTCTTCTGCATATCTTTCGCAGCCTTCGGCAAAAGAAAGGAAATCTGCCCCAGAGGCATTGGGCTGGATCATCTAATTTAGTAAAATGCAAGCCGTGCCCCCTGACGCATGCCAGCTCTGTTTGTGGTTCTGATGGACACACTTACACCACTAAGGTAACATCATATAATATTGAAAATGTGCATGATGGTTCATCCATGAAAGTGCCATGAGAAATTTAAACTTGAAGTATATGTCTGTAGCTTTTTGTCTTGAACTACTTGAATACCAGATCACTGAGTGAAGTCAGTGTTTCACACTGTTTTTAATGTTTCTAGTGAAAACATTAAATTGGAAGGTTTTCTTTTTTAGGGTTTGCAAAGCTACCGGTTTGATGCCACAAGAATAATAAGGATAAAAAGAAAGAAGAGTTGGCTGAATGTCCAAGTTATATGAATCTTTAACTTGGTCTTGTGCTACATTTCATTTTCTTTCTGATTTATAGGTACGATACTGTACAGTATTCATATTGACCATATGCGTTGCTGTTGGAGATTAAAAATCTTGGAAATATAAATATAATCTGGCAGTGGAGAACATAGCCAACAGTCATTTGCCATTGTCCAATCACTCTCGGATAAGTGTACTGCTTTACCAGCATTCCCCCTGTCCATTCAGGGGGATAGGACCTATTAGGCCCCAAGCAACAAATGAACCATAATGGGTTCCATAAGAAAATTGAGATTTCTTATGGATCTGGTAGGTAGATCAAGAGAGATCTTGGATTGGGTTTGTGGCAAAGCCCTTGGCTTGAATATTCTAGGCATCTGGTAGATAAAATAATTCAGATTCTCTTAGAATTGGACTGTGATTAAGCAAATAGATTTCAGGTGATGGAAATCTTATGTGGTTACCTGGGATGTGTTTTGAATGTGAAACTCCTTGGAAGTGGACATGATCCTCAAGATCGTTAACCTGACTGCTTGTTTGTTTGATCGTTGCCCTCTTGGTTTGTGAAGTTCTTTCAGGTGGTATGTAATTGGTTCAGAATAACAAAATAACAGAGTTGGAAGGGACCTTAGAGGTCTTCTAGTCCAACCCCCTACTCAAGTAGGAAAACGTATACCATTTCAGACAAATGGTTGTCCAGTCTCTTCTTTTAAAATCCCCAGTATTGGAGCACCCCCAACTTCTGGAGGCAAGTGGTTCCACTGATTAATTGTTCTGTCAGGAAATTTCTACTTAGTTCTAGGTTCTCTCCTTGATTAGTTTCCATTTATTGCTTCTTGTCTTGCCTTCAGGTTCCATGCAGTAATATCAGTTTTTCAGGACGATGGCCTGGTTCATTCCTGGTACACCTCTTCCTTATTCCTGGATCCGTTAGTTCTGGACAACTCTAACCTTCCTTTTCTTGGGAGGGTTGTTAAGAAGACAGCTGACTATAGCTTCTGAAGGAAACAGATTATTCAGGCCTGTTTCAGTCTCATTTTAGGTTACAATATAGTACAGAGATAGCATTGTGGTTGATAGTTTATGGATGACCTCTTGCAAAGCCAGAATGGAATGAGTGTTACTGTCCTGATAATCCCTGTCCTTTCAGTGGATTTTGATACTATCAACCGTGGAAGCAGGAAACAGATTGACCTGAGGCCCCTTAATGGGTGATGCAATACAGGGCTCCCTTTTCCTGTTTAATATCTACATGGTCTACATTATTTTTTCATTATGGTTTTAAATTTGTTTTTAATATTGGACACCAGCCAGAGTTGTTGTGGACTTGAGCAGCTTTACAAATATGATACATAAATAAAATGTATGGAATTTTATAGTGAATATAAAATTCAATACTAATGTACACTGTGTATCTGTTTTGAGTTATATTAGGGTTGTAGTTAGGCATACAGCAAATAGCTAAACAACTAAGGAATTTCCTATCTCAAGATTGCCCAGTAGATTATTTAAAAACAACAAAATTATTCATGACTTAGATATTGATTGAGCAAAAGAAAATCACTTCCTTAGTAAAATGTAATTCATGCACTGGTATGTTACTTTACAAGTGGAATTTTGGATTATCTCCTGTATAATCGTTGGATTAATTATTCAATAAGTAATATGTATGATCATCCTGTTTACAAAGCTTTTTATTGTACACAATTCCTTACAATAATAATTTGGACTCCATAAAAATACATACTTAAAAGTAAAATGTGTAAGCTAAAGCAACACAGAATGCCTCCATAAACTACTTTCTCCCTATCTTTGAGTGTCAGCGGTTGTCTAAAAGATTAATTCCAGAACATATATCACATTGTAAGTCTCTGTGTGAACTCCGGTTTGGGAAATGAGCCATACCTAAGAGGTAAAACTTTTTGTTTGGCAAGTAAAAGTTTAATTCCCTACTGTTTTTACTCCCACTCTGAAACCATCTAATACAGTGGTTCTCAACCTTTCTAATGCCATGACCCCATAATACAGTTCCCCATGTTGTGGTGACCCCCAAGTGGGTGTGGCCACCAATAAGAGGGAGTAGGACAGCTAGGGAGAAGGGAAAAAATGGCGGACAGCATGGTTTGGCGACCCCCATGAAATGGTCATTCGACCCCAAATGGGGTCCTGACCCATAGGCTGAGAACCACTGATCTAATACATGCCCCCTAAAAACTAATTCACCCAAAAGTGTCTACAGGGGAGAATCAAAACAGGCAAGTTGATGGTGGAAGCATGATTGAGGCTCTGCCTCTTTGTACCCATGTGTGACACAGAAACATGTGCCAACGCAGTTATTTTCTATTGGGATACCACAGTCACTTTGCTACCACCTCCTCATCCCTTGTAAATATTAGTGAATCTACTCTTTCTATTGAAGTAATAATATTGCACTCCTTGCCTTCTGTAACCCTCCAGAAGGTTGGGAGGCTGACTTTAAGGCTGTCAGGGAGCAAGAGTGGAGCAATTTTCTCTTGGTTAGAAACAAAAAATGAAGACCTGAATGAACAAGTAATCTGCACAATGATCATTTTAAAAATTGCTAAGCTATCTGAGCAGATTCAAATAAACCTTAATTTGGAGAACTAATTAACACATTTGGTGAACATGCTTATGACAAAAATGTTGTTATCCCATATTAAATTGGCTCATCAGTTTACAATTTACAATTCCTTTCTCCTATTTACCAACCTCCTATCCTTCTTCTATCACATACAAGCATTTTTTTTATATGTTTAGGATAACACTTAATACATCTAAGAAATGTAGTTTCTGAGCTAGTAAATTATTTTCCGCCCTAGTACTCCTTGTAAGATTATTTAAAGTACTTATTTCAGACATTTGTCAACAGCTTTCTTACCACAAACTTTATTCTTTTATCTGCATTATTGGGCAATACTGTACCAATTTCAGGTTCAAAAAGCTCCATTTAAAAAATCACAGCTATACTACGAAAGGCATATCAGTTTTGATTACTGTCATATAAATCATAATTGCCAAAGAAGTTGCAGGTATTTTTGCAATCCCACCAGCAAACCACAAAGAAAATAGAATGAAAAATGAATTTCTATTCTTCCTTAACTATCTCTCTTATCTTCACAGCCGGTTAGTCCATAATCATATAAACAAAGTTGAGACTGTGGCTTGATAAATCCAGAGCTTTTGTTATGCACTCAGGCTATCTGTTTCACAAGTTGAGTAGATCTTTACTGAACAGGCTGAATGTCAGATATTTCAGAAAGCCTTTTGATTATTTACTATAGGATTTAATTCCTTTTTTAAATCCAGAATCAATGATATTGTTTCTTCAGCTTAGTTTTGGATCTAGTAATCATTATAAACTATATATTAATCCATTTTCTTCTTGCATTTTGTATTTAGCATGTTAGTAACTGAGATAGGGAATGTTACCTAGCAAGGTGAAAATGTTGATAGAATAATTGTGGAAACACAAGGTCAGCATTACTCCTATTGGCTATACATGTCTATAGGCTCTTTCTGAACAGTTTTTGCAATATTTCTGTCTTCAAAGTAAATGGGGCCAGCAAATGGAAATTCTAGTCTGTGTGTGCTCTTTCTGCCATAATATAAGGCTGGGGCTTCATGCATTGATATGTATAAACGGAGCTGAGATTCAGTATCTGTACATAATTCAGGTAATTTTATTTCAGTGATTTGTGATACCCATGAAAATTGTAAAGAAACTCTTGGTAAAATATTTGTTTTATTACCAGTGCTTGCAAAATGAAGCAAAGATAAATCTCTTTATTTTCCTTATTATTACCTTATATTACTGCCAATCTGTTAGCCAACTGTACTTTTTATTGCTGTAATTGTAATCAGATACAGAATTCTTACTCTGATACTTGTTCTTTCTTCTGTGTCACAGCTGCAGTAATTTCTCTCAAAATTTGAATTCATTTTTTGTCAGTTTAATCAGTATTTATTTATTTATTTATGAGTCTTATAGTATGTAATGAGTAATAATCTCCTGATGGGTATCTCAACTGCACAGTTAACATTTTTTAAAAAAAATGGATCAAAAAAAGATTGTATGGTAAACTGAGTTTCTGTAGAGGTAGTTCTCAATTTATAACTGTTCATTTAGTGATAGTCTGAAGTTAAAACAGTATTGAAAAAAGTGACATGACTGTTTTTCACATTTATTACTGTTGTGGTATCCCTATGGACATGTGATCAAAATTTGAATGCTTGGCAACTGGCATGTACTTATGACAGTTGCACTCTCCCAGGGTCATGTGATGATCATTTGTAAACTTCCCAACTTCTGAAAAGTGAAATCAATTAGGAAAGCCAAATTCTCTTAACAACTGCATGATTCACTTAAACAGTTAACAACTGCAGTGGCCAAAAAATATTGTAAAATGGGGCAAGACTCACTTAATAACTGTCTTGCTTAGCAACAGAATTTTTGGGTTCAGTCATAGTCATAAGTTGAGGACTTCTTGTAATCACATTATGATGATGAACAGGTAGTCTCACTTGTCAAAGTTACAGAGCACTCCCAAAAACTTACCTATGACTTATTCTCAAAGTTATGACAGCTGCACTGTCTCTGTGGTCATGTGATTGTATTTCAGACACTTGGCGACTGACTTGCATTTATGCTCAGTTGCAGTGCTCACAATCACATAATCATGTTTTGCAATGTTTTTTGCCTTTTTCT